GTGTTCACATTCACTTAACCTATCTTCATCTCCTCTGCAATAAACATTGTCCAAGTGATAAAATAATGACAATTCATTTGTCAAAACAGGATATCTTCGCAGTGAGATAGAAACTGTAATAAGAGTAAATCAGTATTTGAAAGTTCCAACTACCAAAAACTCACGCCCGACATATCCTAGTTGTCGGCACACCACTTGTGCATCTCGGGCATCCCACAGGTCATCACACACTGAACCCCACAACCCATTGAAACATATCTCCACTCTACCATTGGCATTAGATAGCCGCCCATCAACCAGTCTAACATCAGTCTCATTGCACTTCAGATCTAAAGTGGCTATATTAATACGACCACTAATAGTTAACCTTTCAAACAAAGTAGCATAAACATACAATTGCATATAACTCCAGCTTCCTCATACCCAACACCACATTTGTGAACACCAATTCCATTGTGTTCACATTCACTTAACCTATCTTCATCTCCACTGCAACCAACATTGTTCAGGTAATAGAATAATGATGCATTTGATTTAACAGGATGTTGTTGTATTGCAGTAGAAGCTGGTTTGGTTGTGAACAGATAAAGATAAATGTTGGAAGATTTAGCAAACAAACACTTACATCCATCATATCCCAGTTGTCGACACACCACTTGTGCATCTCGGGCATCCCACAGGTCATCACACACTGACCCCCACAACCCATTGAAACATATCTCCACTCTACCATCATGTGGCGTTAGCCCATCAACTAGTCTAACATCAGTCTCATTACACTCCAGGTCTAAAGTGGCTATATTAATACGACCACTAATAGTTAAACCTTTCAAACAAAAGTAACAAAAACATACAATTGCATATAACTCCAGCTTCCTCATACCCAACACTACAGTCATGAACACCAACTCCATTGTGTTCACATTCACTTAGCATATCTTCATCTCCACTGCAATTGAACATTGTCCAAGTGATAAAATAATGACAATTCATTTGTCAAAACAGGATATCTTAGCAGTGAGACAGAAACTGTAATAAGAGTAAATCAGTATTTGAAAGTTCCAACTAACAAAAACTCACGTCCGACATATCCTAGTTGTCTACACACCACTTGTGCATCTTGAGCATCCCACAGGTCATCACACACAGAGCCCCACAACCCATTGTAACATATCTCCACTCTACCATTGGCATCAGATAGCTGCCCGTCGACCAGTCTAACATCAGTCTCATTGCACTGCGAACCTGCACATAATTGACCATCAACATGCACACTCACTGGGAATAACCATTTGCTAACTGTGACATATTACTCCAGCATCTTCAGGGGAATAACAATAAGCAGAAAAAGGGCAGTACTGAAGGTGAGTCTCATGTCCATCACACGAGAAACTAGGACGGTAAATTTGACCAGATCCTCTGCCGTGGTCGGCAGGGGCACCATCTGCATGATAATTATTATTTGTTTGTCAGTCATTACGGCAATATTTAATTAAGTTAATGTACAACGGAATCCAAGCTCCCTGCAGGTGATGCGGGCCTCGATTCGACCCCATCCATCATAACAGATAGCGCTCCAACGCCGGCTGCAGCATATCTCCACTCTGCCTTCGTTCTCAGTCATTCCGTCAACTAATCTAACCTCTCCTTCATTAGAGCACTGCTGTCCTGCAACTGTTGGACACAACGCCGGCGTACCAGGTATATCTATAGTTAGCTATATTATACGTACTTACCTGTACATGCAACCGACAGTAATACACTCGCGATAACTACGCACACATAGGCATTATCAATCAAAACTCCAATGGATAAACTTCCAGCGACAAGCTTAGAGTGAAGGCTACCACCGAAAGCCACAGAAAATGATAGCTACCAGTGAGCGTATATATTTGGCGAGCGGGAGCGAGCCAACCTAGTCGTTCGTTCGAGCGGAATTTCACGTCGTGCAAGTGCGCATGCGCGGCTTTGTACGCGCTTCTTTTTATCCGAAACTATTTCCAAATTTTTACACATTTTCACACACGGAGATATTATTATGCGCTGATCGATCTAGCCAGCTAGTTAATTACGAGGAGGAGCCTAGCCGGCGCGGCCAGGGTGTATGCGCGGCATCACAGCAGGACGTGCGCATGTGCGGCGGTCGCGCATGCGCACGGCATGTCCGCGTGGCAAGGTGTCAGTATTGCACGTGTTTAGTCGGCTACAGTTGCTGTCACTGTGCCAGTTTGTAAAGTCTAGTGATTCAAAGTCGTCTCACGCCCTACGGCATTCTCCGCTGGTTGTTTAGTCATCTCCTCACTCCTCTGCTGCCTGCCACACCCGTGGCAAGACCGCCGCGAGGTATCATCCTTCGTCTACTCAATCATCGCGCTATCCTCCTCCCCTGCCCCTATATCTTCTCCCCGTCTCGTCCCTCCGGCTGTGGCTATGGCGACAGGCGGCGACGACTCCTTCACGCCCGCGCAGCTCGCGTCCATCAGAGAGATGCTCAGCGCCGAGATCGACGCCGCGCGCGCCAGGGATCGCAGATCGCCTACACCCGGTGGCGCTGGACCCTCCGGTGAGGGGGGGGGTTGGGCACGGTACAGGGGAGCTGGGCATAGGCAATAATTGGCGAGCGGAAGCGAGCTAACCTAGTGGTCCGAACGGGCGCGATTTTTCTATATATAATTATATATACATATTATACATGTATGTCACCGTACGTCGCCGAACTGCACATGTCACCGTACGTCGTCGGTACGTCGCCCACCCCTCAGTGGGCTCCACCCCTGATAATTTGTGAGCGTGTGAGGAAAGGGAAAGAGTTATGGATCGGTCTAGAGAAGATGCTCTTCGTCGTCGACGAGAGAGGGAAAGAGAACGTCGTGCCAGTGAGACTCCTGAGCAGAGAGAAGCTCGGCTTTCTCAACGCCGATTGCGTGATCGGAAACGGGCAAGGCAACGCCGGGCAACAGAAACAGCGGAGGAAAGGGAAGCGCGACTAGCGAGAGGTCGTGTACGATCAAGAGCTAGACGCGGTGCAGAATCCGAGGAGGCACATCAGGCCAGGCTCCAACAGCTTCAAAGCGCCAAATTGCTGCCGAGTCCAGTGAGGAGAGAGAGGCCCGCCTACAGCTGCTACGCAATGTGTTTTGTGCACACACAAGAGTGACTCATATGATTAGACCCCATTTGTAAGCTCGCTTCCGCTCGCCAAAAATGCCATGCATTCGCCTACTAGTAATAATAAACTAAGAGAAGGTGTGACTCCTCCTGGGGGAAATTGTTGACGCGTGGTCCGTGCGCGGGGGCAGGGGGTATGGCCGACGGCTGCAAGGCACTCTGCAGCGCGTGCAGGGGCTGCTCGGGCCGGCCGTGCGCGCTATGGTTCAGGGCACACCTTCTGCCCGCTGCCGTTCACCCCACCCCCTCCCCTTGCAGGCCACTCCTGCGAGGCACTCGGGGATCTGCCAGATCCCGCTAGTCTGCTGCCTTTGCCCACATTTACCCCCGCCGGGGGGCCGTCATCTTCGGGCCTGGACGTACTGGCCGCGGCCGTTGCTGATCACCTGCCGCAATCTGGAGACCCGCCCAGCAATGCTCATGGGTCACTTCACAGCCAGGGCCCGTACAATCCGGCCGCCTCTCTGCCACCCAAGGTGGTAAAGAAGATCCTGGCGTTAGAGTTCGTCGAGATGTCGGAGCTCCGTGGCGACATCTGGCCGGACGACTCCACTACCGACGCCGCAACCCCCGGCCGGCGCACTTCAAAGCCGCCTGTCGTCTCTATCAAGTCCTGGCTGGAGTGCTGTGCGAGAATGGCGGCCGTTCTGGTATCGCGTTTTCCCGAGAAGGCCCCCGAACTCTGGGCCTACCAATCGACAGTTCTCGTGGCCGTGCACAACTACGAGGGGGCCAACTGGGTGGCATACGACAGGCAGTTCCTCCGAGCCATGTTAGCCAAGAAGGACCTTAATTGGTCCGTACCCGACACCCGCCTCTATAACGAAGCCTTTACAGGCCGAACGCGGTCGATTCCACGGTGCCCCCACTGCCTGTCCGATGACCACAGTGGAACCAGCTGCCCCCACAACCCAAACCCCCCAACACTGGGATGGTTTCAAGGTTCTGGCCCCCCTCTTAATATGCGCCGGCGCCTCAGCTGCCGGCCCCAGCAACAGCCCCCGCCAGGTCCCGGGAAGTGTGTCGCAGCTTCAATGCGAATCGGTGCCATTTCACCCGATGTCGTTTCTCCCACGTTTGTTCGGACTGTGGGGGCCCCCACAGCGTCCTCAACTGCCCCCACCGCCAGTCCTCATCGACTGGGCGTGGGCCATCTGCACGTAACCGGTTTCGACGAAACCGACAACAACAGTCACACCCCTACCTCCCGTCCCAGAATTCTACTGGGTCGGAACAGGCGTAGGCCCGCTACCCGAACTCCCAGATTAGCTGATTCCGAAGGGCCACAACACGGGGAAGTGGCGCTTAATCACAGACCTGTCACACCCGCTGGGGCAGAGTGTGAACAGCGGCATCGACCCAGAGTTATGCTCATTATCATACATCTCCATCGACCGAGTGGCAATGGTAGCGGCCAGTTACACTGCTGGCGCCCTCCTGGCCAAAATAGATATTGAGTCGGCGTACCGACTAATCCTCGTCCATCCCCAGGACCGCCCATTGCAGGCGATGGAATGGCGGGGGCACCTGTATGTGGATCCCATGCTACCGTTCGGCCTCCGCTCCGCACCTAAGATCTTCAACGCACTAGCCGATGGCTTGGAGTGGCATCTGCGGAACTGCGGGATCCGTCAGGTTTTCCACTACCTGGATGACTTTATCATTGTCGCTCCACCACACTCCTCTGAGTGTGCGGAAGCTTTGGTCACTGTCACACAGGCGTGTGCGACCCTCGGTGTGCCACTCGCCGAGCACAAACGGGAGGGTCCTACAACGTGCCTGACATTCCTGGGTATCGAAGTAGATACCGTTGATTCCCAACTCCGCCTCCCTCAGGACAAGCTGTGCCACCTTCGGTCCCTCCTTGAGGTCTGGAGAGACAGGAAAGTGTGTGAGCGGAGGGAGCTCGAATCCCTGGTGGGGCTCTTACACCACGCCTGCAAAGTTGTACTGTCCGGTCGCTCTTTTCTCCGCCGCATGATTGAACCTATTGAAAGGCGTGCGTCACCATCCTCTGCGACCTCACCCTATGAGACTGAATAGGTCCTTCCGTTCTGATCTCACATGGTGGAGGTCCTTTGTCTCGAAGTGGAATGGGGTCTCCTTTCTCCCTCCCCCCTCCCACCTGCCACGATTGCAGATGGCGTCCGACGCTTCGGGGTCTTGGGGCTGCGGGGCATGGCACCTCGGCCATTGGTTCCAATTACAGTGGGACACGGATTCAGCCCATCTTCCGATCATGGTCAAAGAATTACTCCCGGTGGTCCTGGCATGTGCTATATGGGGGCCAGCATGGGGCACCCACTGTGTCATTGTGCACTGTGACAACCAAGCCGTGGTTGCCTGCTTACGGTCGCGTACCAGCCACGTCAGCCACATCATGCACATGCTCCGCACGTTGGCGTTCGTGGAGGCCACTTACGATTTCTCCCTGTCCCCACAGTACATAAGTACGGGGGATAATCACCTAGCTGACGATTTATCGCGCGATAATCGTCTCTCCTTTCTCTCCAAGGTGCCACACGCCGACAGGCAGGCCACTCCACTCCCACCACAGCTGGTAGGGCTACTCCTCGACCCGTCCACAGACTGGACATCACAGCGTTGGCTCCGTCTATCCAACGGTATTTTCGAGATGGCCTCGCCCCTTCCACGCGTCGGGCTTACGACTCTGCAATGAGGAAATTCTGGTCGTTTTGTGAAAAGTATAGTATCGCAGATCCGTTCCCGGTCACGGACCACCTCCTTTGTGCATTCGCCGCCTTCATGGCAGACGGCGGCCTTGCGGGCCAGACTGTCAAGTCGTACTTAGCGGCCATGAGGAATACCCAGTTATCCTTTGGCCTCCCGGACCCAAGAGAGCAGTCAGCCTTGCCAATTCTTAGGCGCGTGCAGGCGGGCATTGCCCGAACTCGCCTGGGAAGAGGACAACCCTCAAGAGTCCGCCTCCCAATCACGGCCCAAATCCTCCGCCGGATGAAACACAAACTGGATCAGGTGGCCCACCCAGAGAGGCTGGTACTGTGGGCCGTTGGTTGCACTGCCTTTTTCGGTTTTTTCCGGTTAGGAGAGCTGCTGCTACCATCCCAGTCAGCGTTCAACCCCAGGTTGCATCTGGCATGGGGGGACATGGCGGTTGATAACCCACAGGCCACCCGGATGGTGAGACTCCACCTGAAACAATCCAAGACGGATCAATTCGGCCGTGGAGCAAATGTAATCCTGGGGAGGACAGGGCTTGACCTATGCCCAGTCGCGGCCATCTTGGCATACGTGGCCGTTCGGGGAGATGAGCCCGGCCCGTTCTTCCTGACCACAAAGAAGGCTCCACTGACCAAGCAGGCATTCGTGGAAGAGATTAGGAAACTTCTCCGGGCCCTCGAACTCCCGGAGGACAACTATGCTGGTCACAGCTTCCGTATCGGCGCCGCAACGTCTGCTGCACTTGCAGGGATAGAAGACTCGACCATTCAGCTGCTGGGTCGGTGGCAAAGCGGTGCCTTCCTCCGCTACATAAGGACACCACACGAACGGTTGGCTGCCATGTCAGTGGCACTAGCTTCCCAGAACCGCTTCACCACAGACTCTCGTCCTACCCAGTAGGGCTCTAACATTGCTCTAGATTGTAGTGTTATCTGTCTCAATATTGTTATAGCTGTAGAATGTCAATCAACCTTACAGGATAGCGTAGGTGCATTTGCATGCCCTAGATCTTCTACCTACATCCTTGGGGAGCATGGCAACCGGCTGTCGCCAGCTACCTCCTTGGGTGGACTCGCCCCTATCTGCCGGAAAGGGGCTCGCAGCCATGCTCCCCATCATGCTGCATGCCGTGGGAGTGTCCCGTAGAGCGAGGCATGTGCCCGCCTACCAGGTCACGTGAGGCTCGCGGTTAGCCCATGACCAAGTGATCAGCCTCACCACACCTGGTACACAATACAGCATGGCACCACGTGAGCTCACGTAGCTCACGTGGCCGGGCCGGGGGCGTGCCGCAAGCTAGCTGTCGGATGGGGGCACATGCCTACCACAAGGGGACACTCCCGTCATGTCTGGCTCCTCCAAAATGTAGAATGGGCGAGCATGAGTTAAGTGTAGTTTAACAGGATGTTAAACGTGGTTAACGAGGAGAGCCAGGGTGCGCGGCATCACAGCAGGACGTGCGCATGTGCGGCGGTCACGCATGCGCACGGCATGTCCGCGTGGCAAGGTGTCAGTATTGCACGTGTTTAGTCGGCTACAGTTGCTGTCACTGTGCCAGTTTGTCAAGTCTAGTGATTCTCCAACCCACCATTCCCCAACCAAGCTCCTTCTAATAACAATGCATGCAGCGAACACAAAGTTGAACCGTCTCCATCAATCATGATGTGATAACCAGACAGTGGCATGTCACAAGCTGGGGAGGGGGTGGACTCGCCCCTATCTGCCGGAAAGGGGCTCGCAGCCATGCTCCCCATCATGCTGCATGCCGTGGGAGTGTCCCGTAGAGCGAGGCACGTGCCCACCTACCAGGTCACGTGAGGCTCGCGGTTAGCCCATGACCTAGTGATCAGCCTTACGAGCACACCTGGTACACGATACAGCATGGCACCACGTGAGCTCAGGAATGGGGAAGATGAAGCGGTGTTCTCGTGGTAGAAAAGCGAGGTGCAGACCCACGGGGCTCTCTTCACTCCTGGAGACAGAGAAATGAGTGGGGAGAGAACATACCTAAAGTGACTATACCTCTTCTGGAAAAGGTCTAGCACTCCTAAAATGATTCTTTCCCTAAGAACAGTTTCTTGCATACCCCTGAAGTAAGGATAGCTTGCTAATTTTGTGGGCACGTTCTGTCACATTAGTGTACTGATTAGAAAGGTTTCACTGTTTATACAAGGAAGTAGAGTGAATTCGGTAAAAGACTCTGGAATTCTGGCAGCTCTCATCTACGGAGGTGGCAGAGAGGGAGTGGGCCTGTCGCTCCGTGGCACACCTGCTGTGCGAGACAGACGCCCAGCAGACACTGCTTAATCACCAGGGACTTCCCCGCTCGTTGATAACTCTGTTAAGTGGAGTGTGAGAGAAGCAGCTGCCGGGGCCCTCAGGTCAGACTCTCAGTCCATCTCTATCATCTTCTGTTTTGAAGAGTAGACCGTAATTTTTGAAAAGAAAATTTTTTGCCAGTTATGTTACGCATCTAAGATTTTCGTGAATAGTTACCCATGTCTCCAATACAGAAGGCACTTATTTTATTCGCAGAGGGTATATTTTATACAGACTTAACCACGAAAAATGCAATTCTGAAGTTTAGTACACTACGGAATGATAAATCAGGTATTTCTTGCTCTGTGTATAATTATACATGAACCTGAGTTCAGTGGGAGACAGTATGTGTCAGACTCTTGTCCGAGATGATGTAATGAATGCTATTGCAGCTGTTCTTAGACAGGTATCATTACTACATAATGTGAATTTGCACATAGATGGAAAAATATCAAATTTCACTATAAACTATAATGTTGATGTGTGTTTGTTCATGAGTGTTTGTGTGTGTGTGTGAGCTTTTCTTCTCTCCTCTTCCTTGTCCAGTGTATGTCTCAGGTGCAGAGGTACCCAGTGGCTGCAGTGAAAGTCTCTCCCTACCCCACCCTCCCCACACTCCCTCGTCACCCACACCCTCTGTAGGACAGAGGAAGGGGAAGCGGAAGGCCAAAAACGACATAAATCTTCACCATGTTTTGGCCACCGTTGAGCAAAGCCTACACCTTCTCCTCTCAGCCCATCTCTTCCCTCTATCATCTTCTGTGAAGCGAAAACCCTGAGGGATGAACTCCAATTGCTGCACAATAACTATGGAGAGGCAGGGGTTCGTGTAGAATAGATCATTAACCTTTTGGCACAGGAAGGTTCACGATCCCTGCAAGGTAGCTAAAGCTAATGTTCTTACTATCATATTCAGAGACGGGTGCCGGGTGGTGATTCTGGTGCGGAATAGTAGCATTCCTCTTCTCCATCGCTGTTGACCACCAGATAGGTAAAACCTCCATCCTCTCCACGTTCTTCTGCGTCCTCCTCCTCCTCCTCCCACACTATGTCCTCGCTGGACTGAATGTAGTCCCCCTGGGCATTACTCGAACATTTTCTCCGTTTCTCTCGCTCCTTCTGCGCCCTCCGTGTGCTCGTGACTGGAGCTGGCTGCAGTTGAGATAACTGCCACGATATATATATATTATAGCACCAGATAGGCAAAACCTCCATCCTCTCCACGTTCTTCTGCGTCCTCCTCCTCCTCCTCCCCCGCTATGTCCCCGCTGGACTGAATGTCGTCCCCCTCGGCGTTACTCGAGCGTTTTCTCCGTCTCTCTCGCTCCTTCTGCGCCCTCCGTGTGCTCGTGACTGGAGCTGGCTGCAGTTGAGACAACTGCCACGACAGCATGCGCCGATACTCTGTCGGAGGCGCCAAGAGACCATCACCTCCACCCTCCTGATCTTCCTGCAGGGCCTCCATAGCTAAATATTTTGCGGTGAGACACGTACGTGTATATAGCGTGGTTGGCAAAAAAATTGTAACATTTCCCAAAAAAATTAATGTGTCTTGTTTCATTCTACGTCGCTAGTGCCATTATACTGATGGAGGAATGGTAATCTAGTCCATCACACTTTCTTCTTCTTTCTCTTCTTCTTTCTCTTTTTCATCCTCTTCTTTGTTTTCATCATCCTTACCCACTCCTCGTTTGAATGGGTTGTACCCCATCTGTAGGTAGCCTGCTATGTGCTCAATGAACTTTGAGATGGTCAAACTAATTTCACTGAAGGTCGGCCGATCCTCAACTGCCATCTCCCAGCACTGTATCATCATATGGTATCTACAAACACACCAAGGGCATCATTCAAGTAGGCAAGGAGTTGATTAGTTAGTGCTCACATGGCCTCACTGCAGGCATCATTGTATGGCTGAGGCATACGGTAGCCTTGCTCCAGACTCTCCATGAGAGTGAGGGGATTCGTACCTGGGTACGGGGCCTTCCCTCCACTGAATATCTCCCACATCGTTACCCCATAGGACCACTGTTGAGATAATATAGAGTCGACAGTGATTGAAGGGTTTTCCTCAAATTAACTACTTTAGCTAATGGTGGTCATTTAAAAATTGGAAGCCACACTTGGAAAAATCACAAGTTCATTTTCAGTGGCTACACCCACCATTGCCAGTTTGAGTTAGTATAGTTATACCTGGGTGGAGCCATGTGCTTACCACATCACTTTTCTCAGAGAAGTGTCCGTCACTGAGGCTCTCTGGAGACATCCACTTGATGGGCAGCTTCACCACTCTCCCCACTGCTGCTGTCCTGTCTGAAGTAGTTCCTCTCAAACACGTCCTCCGACAGACCAAAGTCTGTGATCTTGATCACGAAATGTGCATCAATCCTACCAGCAATAAAGCTGAGGTAAAACAGCCGGTATCTTCCAGAGTGTGGGGACTCACATGCAGTTCCTGGCAGCCAAGTCCCGATGGACGTACTTGTTAGCTGCCAGGTATTCCATCCCACTGGCTATCTGAGAGCATATGACCATCAGCCGCTTACGAACCTCTCCCAGCTGCAGGGAAAACACACTCTATGAACAGACTGATTAGGTATATACTGAGCAAGGAATAACCTCATCTTCATCAGTTTCATCCAAAACAACGATATTATTTCTCTCTCTCTTGAGATACTTCAAAAGGCTACCATTGGCCATATAAGGCATGATGATGTAAGGGGCGGAGCCAGCATCAAGACATACTCCAATTAAACCCATCACATGAGCATGTTTGAATCGACTCATCTTCAGACTCTCCTCCACAAATTTGTCCACTTCTACCTGAACAAACTCACCTGGCAGGAGGCAGTGAGTTTAAAGTGTTGATGGAAGAAAGAGAATCAACCTTTAAGTGTCTTGACAGCCACCACTCTCTTAGACAGTCCCAGTCTGGCCTTGTATACCACACCAAACTCCCCTGAGTATGTGAGTAAACAGGAATCAAGAAAATGAACATTGACACACCTTCTCCAATGCTGTCCAGTAGGGTAATGTCTTCACTCTTGACCAGAAACTTCCCCCTGGCCAGCTCTCTCATGTGATGTGAAGGGACCCTTGTCCTAGGCCAAGGTACTTGAAGCAAGCCAGTATTTAGTCCTGTTGACACTGGTTAGCGTAATTACACAGGATGACTTTATTTACGTGTTGGAGGCACTGTTTCCATGCTTACTGTAAGGATTAGTGGCCAGCAACTGATGCATTAGCATCGCCCTTTCTCGTCTGGTTCATTTCTCAGTCACGACACTGAGACTGGGGCACCACGCCCACCTCTATGAAGTCAGAATGCAAAAACCAACAGGGATTATAAGAACACAATGTCATGGTAAAGTGTTATTGCTGGGCAGTTGGCTCCTTACTTAAACACATAGCTATATACAAACCCTAAGACTACTTACATAGCTAGTATGTCAAGCTGCATATTCTCCAACCGCTTCCTTCTACGTCTCTTGGAGGACAGTACAACCAGAAGTGAAACCACGATAATCATGGCCACTGCTGCTAGTAGAAATAGGACTACAACTGTAATCACAATCTCCACCACTGCTCCTCCGTTTTCATGTGGTAATGAGGTAATCTCTGAGGAAATACCAACAGTTGAGGAGGGGAGAAAGTGGACAGCAGATCGACCAAGCCCAGCATCAGTGCAGCAGTGTGGAACTGGGAACAGCAACGCGGAAGTATCATTACATTCTATTACAAGGTCTACAGATCGAAGCTGCCAAGAGAAAGTGCTCCATGTTTGTGTGACATGTCTCCTGTACCATCTGACACTGTTTCCTGGCAGATGGAGGAGGGAGGGGCCAGATGGGTGGAGTTGCCACAGGGAAGGAGGTAGAAGTGACAGAGAGCTCTGAGCACTTGCTTCATGCAGTACTCATTCTGATCTGTATCATTGTCCTTGATGTTCTTTTTGAGTAGTTGAGCAATGGTGCTCTGATTCCCCAGCCTATAGCTGGCATACACTTTGTCAATGTCAGGCCTGACGACACCATCACATACACCAGTTTCCGACTTGTACACTGAGCACTCTCCGTAACTAGATAACAAATATGTAATAGAGACAGGCCTATTAGTCAGGGGCTGTAGATAATCTTCCATAAATGTGTGGGGGGCTAGTTTTATTTCCGTATGCAAAACGAGTTGGGGCCGGGCAGATGTACACGATCAGAAAAGTTGTTAGTGACTAAACCTCCCTACTTTGGGGACCTTGGCCTGGTAAAAACTATGTGGTGTGTGAAACAAGGTGGGGCGGGGTTGTATATGTCACTTGTGTGTGAGTAGTTTAACTTTTAGATCCACCACAAGCTCACCTAGCTGGGTAAGTGTAAACACGACGGGGCAACTTTCTCTGTTTTGTGCAGCACACTTAGTTTCATCTATGAGACGTGTAATATACAAAAGTTTCTTGGGGTGATTATTAAGTTATGTACACCGGGGTATGTCTACATTGATGTGGATACATTGTCTCACTTGAGTTTGTCCTGCAAAGAAATTGCCGCTCTAGCACAGTCCCATTGGTGTGCCTCCCGTGACCTGCACTCATGAATACTCCCTCAGTCTGCCGCTCCAGTTTTGACTTGCCAAGAACCTGGAACCTTCCCTTCGGCATTTGCGGCCCAGGAAATAAACTTGCTGAATCTGAGCATAGATGCGTCCCTGACCTCTTTGGGAGTGGTGTTTGACTTATCAAAACACCCCGCACATACATTCAGGTTCAAAACCTAGTTGTTCCCTGCACCAACCATAGGGCATCATTCATGTCCCATCCATCGCTGCCGACTCTCCCCATACTCTGTTTTGCAGAAGCTCTACATGTCCTTGGAATGAGCCAGCCACCACATGTAGCCTTACTATTCCCTCTCAGCAACATCTGTTTTTCATCTGTGCATTAATATATACTTCATGCTTGCATACCAACTCCACCAATTAGGGACAGTTGAAACCTCCTAAATAAGACAACGCCTTTGGGACAATTGAAAATGTTTTTTTTCCCCCCCCCCTTTTTTTTTTAATATTTTAATTCAAGAGGTTTTTCAAACAAAAAAAATTCAAATCCCCCCCCCCCCAAGAAATAAATTAACATTGTCAATTTATTGGAACCCCACTTTTTTGTCCACCCCCTTTATACAGAGGTATTCCAGATAATACCAACGGTCCTTTATACAGAGGTGTCCCTTATTCAGAGGTCTCGAAAGTTTCACTGAGTTGTATACACTAGAGCAGCTGATGATGATGTCAGTAACATTATCTGCTGGCCTCCATAGCAACGATGGGATCCATACTGGCGTTGAAAGCACCCCCAGTAGCTCTAGCTCTGTTTCCATTAACATTACGTCAGACTCTCCTCTAGACTGCAGCTCTGTTACCATAGTCCCCAATCTGTCCTCAGTATCAAGATGTATGCACTGCAACTGGATAGCATTCAATGGGCAGAGAGCTCACCCGTGGACCTACCCGCTCTGAGTCATTGTTCTGTAGTGGTCTTAGTGATGAGCGATTGACATGGCTGCATAGGCCTTACATTACCTACCCGTGTTGCTGCCATGCTGATGGCATGAAGCAACCTCTCTATGAAGTAAGTAACAATTTAACCATTTTCAGGAGACCCAGCTGGCGCACACCACATGGGAAGCTGTGGCCTCTCAGGACCCAGTACTCCAGTTTGGTTTACAGATTCTACCCATACTCCATTGGCACAGACTACCAGTCTTTTTCCGTGGGACATTTTTGTTACTACTCTCACCCACTAGCCTAACTTCGCCATGTTTGCACTCTTTCTCTCTCCTGATGATTTGTATGCCTTTACGACCTTTTTTGCTTCCTCTTACACCTCAGCCCTCGCACTCACATTACCGCGACGCAGTTCCTTCGTGTAACAGAGCTATCAGAGCAGCAGCAGTTACCATATGAAAGCAGCGAAGAGCTAACAGCTACAGTAATCAAACCCAACCCCGAAAAACCATAATCAAAGTGCACACCGCCTATAGTCTGTCAGACTCGAGTAGTACAAGGAGCTGCAACACATGGGACGAAAAGATTGAAATTTCAACAGCAAGACAGACAGACAACATATACAGTCAACCCCTGCCACATCCCTGCATTGACTGTCGTCCAGCTTAGAGCAGTCACTTAGTGCATTCTCCACACTGCCACATTGGATGATAGACTTGTCCCACGACCATAATCAACTAAGGTCGATGCTTATAAATGTTAACATAACAAACAGCATCATTTTGCTATAATGGTTTACCATATTGGGAAACATCATAGCCTAAAGCTTGACAGACAATTTGTGCTTCTTCTCCAGCGGAGTTCCAGTGATCACGACACAAAGAATGCCAGCTTCCATTGGGGCAGTAGATTGCCCTGCCTCTGGAAACATCATCACTTCCTACCAGATGGACTGTTCCTTCATCACAATGGTCCCATCTGGAGGTAAAGTAGATACAATTTTTGCAGTGTTGTATCGTAACATACTGTTGCATATCACTCCTGCCGTTCCACCATAACAGACACTGACTTACGGTGACTACACCCACTGAGCTTGGTCTCATCACCAGTACAATTTACAGCAATCAATAATTCTGTAACCTGGTTCTCTGCCTCACTCGTGGATACGAAGCTGGAAGAGAAAAATGATAGGCCTCATCATAAAGTGAAATAAGATAGACTGCACGAAACTCACGTCCATTATACCCCAATTGTCGACAAACTACACCATGGACTGTCTGTAGCCCCATCTATCACTACAGACTGGGTCCATGTCCCATTCAAACACATCTCCACCTGTCCATCATCTCCTGTTTTTGCCACTGACTAGTCGAACATCATTTTCAATGCATTCCCTGTCTGCTTACAAAGTTGGAAAAAGTCAGCTTACACTGGAACGCAAAACTTACTAAGAAAAACTGAAACAAGACTCACCGTTGCACGTACTCCAGCTTCTTTGCCTGGATAACAGTTGTGCACGCCAATTCCCTGTGTTTACAATCACTCACATGCTTTCGTTTCCTCTGCAGTCAACGGTGTCCAGATGATAGCTGGTGGACACAGTTAAAGTGGTAGTGTGCAGCAGTAGAAAAGATGCTGTGGTGTTGTGTGGAAATGGACAATGGATTGACTATAGCATGGAAAAAAGAACGTACGTCCATTATATCTCAGTTGTCGACACACAACTTGTGCATCTCGGGCATCCCACAGGTCATTACACACTGAACCCCACACATCATTGAGACATATCTCCACTCTGCCATCATGTGGCGTTAGCCCATCAACTAGTCTAACATCAGTCTCATTACACTCCAGGTTTAAAGTGGCTGTAAATCCAGAAAATAAGTATAAGTATCAAAGTGTGCAGGAAGTTAACAAAGCTTACAATTGCATCTAACTCCACTTTTGCTATAACAATTGTTGCTAGGTCTTTTGCGGTTACATTCTACCAACATGGTTTCATTTCCTCTGCATTCAACACTGTCCAGATGATAGATGGTAGATAAAAAACTTCGATAAGGGGTACGGTGTAGCAGTGAGAAAGATGCTGCATAAGTAGAGTGGTTAAAAGTGCAGGTGTAATTTTCATTCCAACTATATACGTGAAATCGATTTTTCTTGCCTAATGTTAATCCCCGTGTGCATGTGTATATTAATGCTACTTTTTAGTACCAATTTTGCTTCATATTTTTTATTTCATATGTTATTATTTATTATTTTGCTATTCACAGTCCTCCTGTCATTTTGATACTATCTATGTGTGCTCCTACCATTGTGCATCAGCTCACGCATGTAAAGCTAGTCCCTTCATGTGTGCCATGTATAGTGTTGTTGTGTAATTAACCCTCGGCGCGCATGCGCAGCGAGGGTTACGGTAGTTGTTTCGTAAGTGTGTCAGTCTGTCATTACCCTCGGCGCGCATGCGCAGCGAGGATACTGTAGTTGGGTTTGTCTGTCTAGAGCTGTGTCTGTTACTCTCAATCTCACTTCTCGTGTGTCTGTTCGTCCCAGAAACGATACCATCTACCCAACGGGCGACGAGGGTCAGAACATATGTGGGGTTTTCTCTGAAAATGATCCGTTGCAGAGCTAGAGCTAGAGCGCTTCCAGCATTGTATGGCTAATGCTGGTAGTCGAGTCGCCATTTTATCGCTGGCGGATAATGCGCATGCGCTTATATTTAGCACAGGCTAGGCACCTCAGCTCGACTGGGTCCGCTTGCTCTGTCTATCTTGAAGGCACAAGATGTCACAACGAATGGCGTGTATCGACTCCCGCGTGCTATCTACTACTGTAGCTGGCCCGTGTCAGACTCTCTGCGAGCTACTTCGCCGAGGGTTTGCACTTTAGTGCTTTTCATTCTGTCTGTTACCACGTTTTCTGCCACCGCGCGCACGAAATCAGGTAAATAGCGATATGATCGGGTTCAGTGCTACACTGGGTTGATTTTAAAAAAGGCGATTTTCGTAAAAACTACTAGCGTTCTAAAGTTATGGCGTGAAAACCAAGTGAACAAGCCAATATGGTAATTAGCACAGGCTTACCTCGACTGCGTCCGCGCGCTCTGTGTATCTTGAAGGCACAAGAAGTCACAACGAAGGGCATGTATCGACTCCCGCATGCAATCTACTACCGTAGCTAGCCCGTGCCAGACACTCCGCGAGCTACTAGCGCGATACAACGAGTAAAGAAAAGAAAAGCCCAGCCCACAATTAGTGGTACCGCGCATGCGCAGTTCGCCGAGGGTTTGCACTTTAGTGCTTTTCATTTATGTAGGTTGTGAAGCCCCAGAAGCCATTCTCCTCTTTCATATTGTCTTTCTTTCCTCATGTAAAAGCGTGAGCTGTTCAGTTTACATGCACCCACAACATTATCTTTCATAATAATACTGGAATCGAGGAAGCAACTATGGTAATTCATACTCACATCCATTATATCCAAGTTGTCGACACACAACTTTACCATCATTGACATCCCACCTGTTACTGCATACTGACCCCCACAGCCCATTGAGACATATCTCCACTTCACCCTCTTGCGGTGGATTGCCATTCACAAGTCTAACATCAGTATGATTGCACACCTCCTGGTCCAGAGTGGCTGATGGATAATCAATTAAAGTAAAAGAGTGTGTAGACAAAGGCAGATAACATACTATTGCATATAACTCCAGCTTCGTCATACCCAACACCACAGTTTGTGAACACCAATTCCATTGTGTTCACATTCACTTAACCTATCTTCATCTCCATTGCAATCAACATTGTCCAGGTAATAGAATAATGACATGCATTTGATCTAAACAGGATGTCTGTTGTAGTGCAGATAGAAAGCTGGTTAGTTGTGAACAGATAAAGATAATTGTTGAAGATTTAGCAAACAAAACACTTACATCCATCATATCCTAGTTGTCGACACACCACTTGTGCATCTCGGGCATCCCACAGGTCATCACACACTGAACCCCACAACCCATTGAAACATATCTCCACTCTACCATCATGTGGTGTTTCTCCATCAACCAGTCTAACATCAGTCTCATTGCACTCCAGGTCTAAAGTGGCTATTTTAATACGACCACCAATAGTTAAACCTTTCAAACAAAAGTAGCATAAAACGTACAATTGCATACAACTCCAGCTTGATCATATCCTACACCACAGTTATGAACACCAACTCCATTGTGTTCACATTCACTTAACCTATCTTCATCTCCTCTGCAATAAACATTGTCCAGGTAATAGAATAATGACAATTCATTTGTCAAAACAGGATATCTTTGCAGTGAGATAGAAACTGTAATAAGAGTAAATCAGTATTTGAAAATTCCAACTACCAAAAACTCACATCCATCATATCCTAGTTGTCGGCACACCACTTGTGCATCTCGGGCATCCCACAGGTCATCACACACTGAACCCCACAACCCATTGAAACATATCTCCACTCTACCATTGGCATCAGATAGCCGCCCATCAACCAGTCTAACATCAGTCTCATTGCACTCCAGGTCTAAAGTGGCTATTTTAATACGACCACCAATAGTTAAACCTTTCAAACAAAAGTAGCATAAACGTACAATTGCATATAACTCCAGCTTCGTCATACCCAACCCTACAGTTATGAACACCAACTCCATTGTGTTCACATTCACTTAACCTATCTTCATCTCCTCTGCAATAAACATTGTCCAGGTAATAGAATAATGACAATTCATTTGTCAAAACAGGATATCTTTGCAGTGAGATAGAAACTGTAATAAGAGTAAATCAGTATTTGAAAGTTCCAACTACCAAAAACTCACGCCCGACATATCCTAGTTGTCTACACACCACTAGTGC